TTGTGGTCAAAAAGTTAGAATATTGAAATGTGCACTCCCGAAGGGTAAGGGATGGGACCTACAATGTAAGAAAAATGTTGCATTTGTGAAAATGAAATACTTCGTCTAAAAAGAGGGTAATTAGTCTTTTGAGTAATGATTAAAAGCAAAATCGTGAGGGCTAAGGCCAAAAACGGACAATCTCTCATCATTGTAAAGTATGTTTGTGTAATAACCTTATAAAATAACACTTATAAAATATCCTCTCAGACAAATATACCATAAAAATAACCTCATCACACACATCATTGACGCTATACTCTGATTGAATCATATATTATCCACATGGAAAATTTTAGTAATATTGTGGTCAAAAAGTTAGAATATTGAAATGTGCACTCCCGAAAGGGTAAGGGATGGGACCTACAATGTAAGAAAAATGTGTGCATTTGTGAAAATGAAATGTTTCATCTAAAAAGAAGGTAATTGGTCTTTTGGGTAATGATCAAAAGCAAAATCGTGAGGGTTAAGGCCCAAAACGGACAATATCTCATCATTGTAAAGTATGTTTGTGTAATAACCTTATAAAATAACACTTATAAAATATCCTCTTAGACAAATATACCATAAAAATAACCCCATCACACACATCATTGACGCTATACTCTGATTGAATCATATATTATCCACATGGAAAATTTTAGTAATATTGTGGTCAAAAAGTTAGAATATTGAAATGTGCACTCCCGAAAGGGTAAGGGATGCGACCTACAATGTAAGAAAAATGTTGCATTTGTGAAAATGAAATGCTTCATCTAAAAAGAGGGCAATTGACCTTTTGAGTAATGACTAAAAGCAAAATTGTGAGGGCTAAGGCCTAAAACGGACAATATCTCATCATTGTAAAGTATGCTTATGTAATAACTTTATAAAATAACACTTATAAAATATCCTCTCAGACAAATATACCATAAAAATAACCCATCACACACATCATTGACGCTATATTCTGATTGAGTCATATATTATCTACATGGAAAATTTTAATAATATTGTGGTCAAAAAGTTAGAATATTAAAATATGCACTCCCGATAAGTAAGGGACGGGAATGTAAGAAAAATGTTGCATTTGTGAAAATGAAATGCTTCATCTAAAAAGAGAGCAATTGGCATTTGATGAAGTATCAACGCAATACTTAATGCACGTGAAAGGCGTGCCTCAAATTTGGTACATATTAATGCTTCTAAATATTAATGTGTTTTCTGAAGAAAAAAATCACAGGAAATTTCCTGTAAATTTTTAAATTCCAAACATAACTCTTTCGAATTCACCAAGAATTTTTTTATCTATAAAAGTATTATTTGCAAATCCAATCCGCGGGAAATTTATATCCTGCTGCTGATTAGAAAAAAAAAAAAAACCACACATAAAAAAAAATGTTAGAATGTTTAATTCTCCAACAAGGTCTGGTCTGCCACAGTCAACTTTGTACAAAAATATAAAATGGTAACTTGATATATACTAGCATTGGCAATCAATTTCCGCTTCTCAATTGCGCCTTTTATTTTATATCCTTTATTAGATGTTACAAAATTCTATGAATAAATATAGATATACAAGATTCGTGATCAGCATGGTCCCTTTCCTAGTTTTATATTTAACGCGTGCAATCTTTGAAAATAAAAATTTAATTAAAACTGTTCAGAACTTGGTTCTTTCACGTGACCCTTTTTTGAATCGTCTCTTGTTACTTGTTTTGAGTTTTTCATTGTAAATGAATAATTTATTTATTTGAGAACTAATTATAATGCAAAAGTACAATCATGATTATAATTAAATATAATATCCTCATTTATTTTTTAATCTGCTTATTTTTTGTGCAGGTTGCATTCGATCCGGATTCGTCATTCTTTTCTGTATCTGGTATAAGAAAGGAATGATGGATATAATATAATACAATATAGTAATCAAATATTATTTATTTTACAGCTGGTAATCTAATATTATTAAATATTATAATTTTTTATTATGTATTATTAGTGTTATTTATTTTACATATTAATCGGAAATTATATAGTAGTGTGAATTTTAAGTTTATTATTATAAAAATTAACAATTCATTATATAATAATTTATAATTAAATTATTAAATAAAATTAATTTATACTATAAACATATTTAAATTTAATTTAAATATTTAAAGAACTTTTGGACCAGTTATAAGAATACTATGTGAGAAACACATACAAATTAATGAAAGGAAAAAGATTAGGAAACAACTGTCTGTCCCCATATTAATATGTGTCGATCCATCCCTCTTACTTGTACTCCAGTGCTAAATTTGTTCCATAATAATTAAAAACTTATAATTCACAAAGACAACGAACCATGTGATAATTTAGAGTTTGATTTGAATTATTCAGAGAAATAATAATCAAGATTAAAAAAAATAATGAAAAAATTATTTTCAAATTAAGAACAAAGGAACACAATAATAAGAATAAGGTTGATCCAATACATGAAAACACTGAAATTACCATTCATCGTAAGAGATTCCTAAATAACAAGTATTTTTAAAGAAATTTGCACTCGACGCCACACACTCATTAAGGTAGTGAGTTTTCTACTTCGTCCACACTTGGCACCATATAACCCATGTCTAACGTGGATTAGGTAAAAATCCATAGACCTTCATGGCGTGGCAAAGTCCCACGCTCGATCCTAAATCAACCCGAGATAATTATTTTTCTTCATGCTTGATTCCACTCCTTTGACGTTAACTTCAATCCAATATGAGTTAATTCTCTCACCTCATATTCAATGGCATTCAAACCTTTTCTAACATGATTTAAACATGAGATAATTCTGTCTCCTTACGCTCGGTGCCATCAATCTTGAGCCTAACACGAGTAAGACAGAAACCCCTTGATTAAAGCCATGTATGATGCCTAGAAGGTGCACTCGATGTGACAGTGAATTCTATACTTGTAGACACTCATGAATTTGCTCTCCATCACCTGAAAAATAGAGAACTAAAAACATACAATACCATATATCTCATATATTCATCATCAACAACACATTTTACACCAAAAATCCAACATGAAACCACTAATAGACCAATTCATCAAAATCCAACTCTCATGCTCAAAGCATCCAAAATCCACCCCTTTCATCATACCAATTTCAATAATCAAAACAAAAACTATGAAAACAATTCAAGCAACAATCCAAGATGAACTTCCTCAACATACAAACCAACATGCATCCCAAGCAATCCAACTAGAAACAAGTTCTAACTTTCCTTATCTCAGAGTCAAGAAAAAACAAGGGACGAGAAGAACTTTGAGCTCTCACCAAAGCTCCACACCAACACAACCAAGATTCTTAGTTATTATGGGCTTTGAATCAATAATCCATGCACAATCTTCACTTGCTTGGAGAAAGAAGTCAAAATTCTAGAGACTTTCTCTCTAGTTTATCTATTTAAGTTCTTTGAAAATGAATTTATGAGACTCAATTCTTAAAGGAAACTTTATATACTCCCTCCTCAAGATTAAGCTAGACCTTTATCTAGAGAAACCCTTTAAGACACCTATAAATTATTCATAAGGAATTCCTTTAATTCTGAGATTCTCTCAACACCACACTTCAAAACACTACAATAGACAATTATTGTTAAAAACAAAATAATTAAAGAGAATATACAATTAATGTTATAAATAGACATAAAATAGTTTCATACATAAATAATTAACCTAAAGAATTATCCATTCAAATTCTATCACATCTTTTGTTTATGGAACTTAACTTTAAACAATAAATAATCTTGCTAAATATCTTAAACATATTAGACAAATATACTAAAACTAACATCAAATTTTAAAACATACACACTCGCACACATTTAAAACACACTCACACATACACATACACAAAAATATATATCTTCGTTACATGTGAACTTGGTTATTTATCAATATTCAATAGAGATATGTCTTCCTTAACTTTATCAACAGTTTAATCATCCAAATTACACAGACAAAAAAACAAAATTAAGATATCTCGATTACGTGTAGATGTGATTGTTTATCAATGTTAGAATAGTGGATTAAGCCTAACTCAACCCTACAAAACCGGCTTGTAAGGTAAGGGTTGCTTTCCACTTATATACTATTCAATTGCCTAATCTCTAGTCGATGTGGGACTTGAGTTTTTCCCAATACACCCCCTCACGTCCAGCACTATTGGGCTTGGTACGTGGATAAATGGTGGGTGGCCCTTTTTAATGATCTAGGATTGGCGGGACTTGGGTTTTTCCCAATACACCCCCTCATGCCTGTGAGGCATGCATCAATGGTGGGTGGCCCATTTTTAAAGTGGATCTAAATGGCTCTGATACCATCTTAGAATAGTGGATTAAGCCTAACTCAACCCTACAAAACCGGCTTGTAAGGTAAGGGTTGCTTTCCACTTATATACTATTCAATTGCCTAATCTCTAGTCGATGTGGGACTTGAGTTTTTCCCAATAATCAATAGAGATATCTTGAATTTGATCGACAATTCTTCCTTAGCTTTCTCACTATTTTAATCATCAAATTAAGGCGGGTTACCTTTATTCATAAAATTCAAAAAAGAAAAAATAGTCCTATACAATGGTGAATGAGGTTTATAATTATTCGGTTTAGTTAACTTTTTGGTATATATAAAAACTTTATTATTTAAAGGTAATAATTAAAAGCTTGTTATTATGAAAAAGAAACTAAAGAAGTCAACAAAATTAACAAAAGGACATGTTCTCCCGCGCCCCAAGGTAATTAATTATATTTATGAGTGAGTTGCTGAGTTGTATTTGGTGAACATGGATATCGATTAATTCCTTTTCTTTATTGTATATTAATTATTTTTTATTTCTTAATCAAATAACATGGGCCTTTAATCAAAGAACCTAGAGTACTTTAGAAAGAGATGGTGCCCAGTGATCACCACTATATATATAATTCCTCTAAGATCAATAGTAATACAACACCTCCATAGTTAGTTAGTAGTTTGATTAAAGTTGATGAACCATGAAGCTGTTTTTCTTATTTCCCTTAACTCTCTTCTTCTTATGTACCACAGCATCCATTTATGAACACCCACTAGATCCTTTAACCCCATCCGAGTTCAAGTTGGTTCGAACCATAGTCCTAAAAGCATACTCAGCCACACCCCCCACACTAACCTTTCAATACATTGGCTTGGACGAGCCAGACAAAGCCTTGGTCCTATCATGGCAATATTCAAACCCCAAAACCAAAGCCACAAAACTGCCACCACGTCGAGCTTTTGTCATCGCACGTTACAAAAAGCAATCCCTTGAGATCACCGTTGACTTGTCGAAACGCTCCATTGTCTCCAGAAAAGTCCACACGGGCCATAGCTTCCCCATGCTCACGTTCGATGAGCAAGACTTTGTGGCGGAGCTGCCTCATAAGTATAAACCCTTCATCGAGTCTGTTAACAAACGAGGCCTTAATATTTCCCATGTTGTGTGCTCGACTTTCACGGTGGGGTGGTATGGGGAGATAAAGAGCAAACGCACGTTGAAGCTTCAATGCTTCTACACAGAAGGGTCTTCAAATTTGTTTGTGAGGCCGGTGGAGGGTATTACGGTGGTTGTTGATCTTGATGAGAGAAAGATTGTTGACTTCATTGACAGGTTGAGTGTTCCTGTGCCCAAGGCTGAGGGGACTGAGTATGTTACTGCAAAGCAAAAACCTCCATTTGGACCAACTTTCAAAGGAGCTGCTTTTCTTCAACCAAATGGACCAGGATTCAAGATCCATGGCCACTCTATCAGGTTAGTTCATATGTCGTGTCTGTTTGTCACCACCCAAAGCAATTGGCCAAACGGACACAGGAGGAAAACTAAAACTTTGAATACTTATGATATTGATTGAGACACCTATAATTTACAAATATTTATTTCACATATTTTATTTCTTTTTTTGTTTTTTTCTCTTCATATCTTTTGAAGATGTCTACGCCCAAGAATGTCAATGAGAGAAAAGAAAATTTTGTGAACCTGGATGAAATTTTGTTCTTCCCAAATTTAAAATAAAGCAGCGGAGTTGTTTTTCGAAAACACAAATATCGATTTATTTTATTTTTATAATTTTTTTATTGAAGAAATTTATGTAATTATATATATATATATATATATATATATGTATATGTATATTTGCTTTCCTTCTATTTTTAATCAATCAAATAAGAAAATTTGTGTGATGAGAGTCTTTCACCCCTTAATAAAATAGTCAGAATTCAATTTCTTTTTTTGTGTGCAGAAAACTCAAAAAGCACAAAAAAAAATGAGAGGATTTGTTTTTTAATCATCTTTCTTTCCTTTGATTTTCCGTCTTACTAAATGATCTCACTTTTGATATATGTTTTTCTTTTATTTTCCAATGCAAACAAAATAATAATAATAAAAAAAAGCTGACCCATAATAAATTGATAATGTTATACATTGATGAACTATATCTAGCGTATTTACACCATTTTGGTGTCTCTTTTAGTCAATAAAAATATGATCCGCGTGTGTCTACCTTACTCTAATAGATCGAAGTAGTCTTATTATTTTTAAAATTTTGTAACTCAATATCTTGCATTTTTTTAAAAATGATATTCATCCATTCTTGAGTTCGACAATATAGTTTGTGATGCAGTATTGTTATAATTATCATAATAAGACACCACACTTGTCTTGAAGTAATTCTTGAAACAAGAATATTACATTAAATTATATAATGAAGAATTAACATGAGAGGATCTATTCCATCAAAAACCATAAAATGAAGAATTAATATGGTTGGATACACGAAATCACTCAAAAATAGGATAAATAATTGAGGTAGAAAGAGAAGAGATGAAAAAAAAAAAAGAAAAAAAAAAGAAGATGAATGTACGTTAAGACTTAAGAGTATTAATTTTTCCGATCGAGCTGCAAGTATGATTGTATGAAATGTATGAGCAGTTGGGCAAACTGGGAGTTCCACGTGGGATATGATATTCGAGCTGGGCCAGTGATTTCGCTAGCATCAATTTATGATATTGAACAGCATAGGTATCGCAGAGTGTTATATAGAGGATACATATCAGAGTTCTTTGTGCCATATATGGACCCAACTGTGGATTGGTTCTACAAGACCTACCTTGACAGTGGTGAATTCGGGTTTGGCCAGTCCATGGTGTCACTTGAGCCTTTCGCTGATTGCCCAGCCAATGCTGCATTTTTGGATGCATATTTTGCAGGAGAAGATGGCATACCAGTCAAAATATCAAATGCAATTTGTGTTTTTGAGAAGTATGCTGGGGATATCATGTGGCGACACACAGAATCAGAGATCCATGATGAAGAGGTACTAGCCCCTTAATTCCCCCCACCATTCGCGTGCAATAACATTTTTAAAATTTTGTTATAATTAAATATATATATATATATATATATATATATATATTGATAAATATGCATGTTCTTGTCAGATAAGGGAGGTTAGGCCTGATGTGAGCCTAGTGGTCAGAACTGTCTCTACCGTGGGCAACTATGACTACATCATAGATTGGGAATTCAAGCCAAGTGGATCCATAAAAATGGGGGTATGTATGATACCATACCATTTAGAATTTAATTCTTATGAACAATATAAGAACTCTTTCCACTATTAATAATATAATAAATTATATACAAGGTGTGTGAGTTTAATGCTAACTAGACGTGTGTGACAGGTTGGTCTGACAGGAATATTGGGTATTAAAGGAACATCATACACTCACGTGGATGAGATAAAGGAGGATGTCTTTGGAACATTACTAGCAGACAACACCATCGGTGTGCACCATGATCACTACCTCACATATCATCTGGACCTTGACATTGATGGAGAAGCCAACTCCTTCATGAAGACCAATTTGGAGACCGTGAAAATATCAGACAAGAGTTTGGCAAGGAAAAGTTACTGGACTGTGGTGCGTGAAACTGCTAAGACGGAGGCTGATGCTCGAATCAAACTTGGTTTGAAGCCATCAGAGTTAGCAGTTATAAATCCCAACAAACAAACAAAGCCTGGAAACAAGATGGGGTACCGTCTGTTCCCAGGCACAGTGGGACACCCACTTTTGGTCACAGATGATTATCCACAAATTAGAGGTGCCTTCACCAATTACAACGTGTTTGTTACCCCTTATAACAAGTCTGAGAAATGGGCAGGGGGGCTTTATGCTGATCAAAGTAGAGGAGAAGACACTTTAGCAGTTTGGAGTTTCAGGTATATACTATTATACTATATATGAATATCTATATTCCATAAGAAATTAAGAATATTATTGTCACTTTACTTGTTCAATCTTGTTAAAATTAATACAGAAATAGGAGCATTGAAAACAAGGACATAGTTCTGTGGCACACGGTGGGGATTCATCATGTGCCTTGTCAGGAAGATTATCCAATTATGCCTACACTGAGTGGTGGATTTGAGCTAAGACCAACCAATTTCTTTGAGAGAAATCCGGTCCTTAAAGCCAAACGACCAAAGCCTGTGCGTTTGCCCAAGTGCAATTCTCAACCTTAGTTGTTTTTTTTAAGTCTACTTTTTGGTGCCCTTAAGCTGAAGGACCCCCACACGAGGGTTCTGTTCTGCCATGCCGCAACTGGTTCTTTTAGAAACGTCAAGTTGAGTTGATTTTTCGCTTTTGCAATAAAATAATTGGAAACTTTGCTGTACTTCAGAATTACATTCCAATAAAATAATAGTATATAGGAACATTTTCTGTAACTTCATTATTGGAGTTAAGAAGCGCTTGTCAGTTGTTAGAAGAGGTGTGATAAGGAGCGTTTTTATTAACATTTCTTTATTTAAAATGATATGTATGTTTATCTGTTTGTTTTTTTAGCACTGGCTTCAGTTTTCAGTTCTCGTTATGATCGAAAACCAAATTCAACCACGTATAATACTTATGCTTCTTACTTAATGAATGTGTAATTGTGTACCATTTGGTAGTATATATTGTTTAAAACTTTTAGTAGTAATAATATGTGATATGTAATGTAAGTCTGATAATAAAACGTTTGTAATGTGTGATTTTTGTTATAATATTATGTTGAGAAAATGTATTAATAATAACTTATAATATTTTTTTATCGTAATTAGAGGCACAATTTTCGCTTATATATATGTTACAAAAAGTGTAATAATATTGTTAAGGAAAATTCTAAATAATATAGGTGGTGTGCAACTTACTTTTACATTCAAATTACGTGCAAATATTATTAAATAAATATTGCTAAAGAATAATTTGAGTGCTTGAAGAGTGTTAATACTATATTTTTGTGAGTTCTTTTTTCCTAAGTGGTATCCATAATTCCAGGAATATCAATAATAGTTTTAACATTAGTTTTAACATTGTGCAACCATGTTCTCCCTAACTAACTTTTCCAAGCAATCATAGCTCATACCAAGTCTCATATTTATCAAGAAAACCTTACCAAAGCTATATTCACCAAATCCTGTCAACTCTCAAAGGAAAAATGAAATTATTGTTTGAGTGATGAGTTATTATAAAATATATAAGAATAAGAACAAGAGCGTGGTGTTGAGTTTGAGGAGAGAGAGAATGGATGCAACGAGGAGGGTGACGCTGTTCTGTATCCTCATCCTCTTTTGTCGGTGTGCAGAATGCAACCAGCCTCACCCACTTGACCCTCTAAGCCCTTCTGAGCTGAACCTAGTCCGAACCATAGTCCAAACCTCAACCACCCCCCACAACCTCACCTTTGAGTACGTGGGCTTAGAGGAGCCCAACAAGGCCGAAATCCTCTCATGGCTATCATTAAACCCAAAAAGCAAGCCCAAAGTAGCACCAGCTCGGCGAGCCTCCGTCATAGCCCGCTTCCAGAAACAATCTCTGGAGATGAGCGTTGACTTGTCAAGTGGTTCGATCGTTTCAAGCAAAGTGTACCAAGGACACGGGTTCCCCATGCTGACCTTTGGAGAACAAGCGAGGGCGTCGCAGTTACCATTCAGCCACCAGCCCTTTTTAGAGTCTTTGAAGAAGAGGGGTCTCAACGAGTCTGAGGTTTTGTGTGCCTGTTTCACTATTGGTTGGTTCGGAGAAGCCAAGACGAAACGGAACGTGAAGGTTAAGTGTTACTACGCAAACGGCACTGCCAATTTGTATGCCAGGCCTGTGGAAGGGGTGGCGGCGCTGGTTGACTTGGACGATATGAAAGTCCTTGACTACAACGATAGATATGTGGTTCCAGTTCCACTGCCCAAGGCAGAGGCTACTGAGTACAGAGCTTCTAAGCTCAAACCACCGTTTGGTCCGAAGCTCAAACCCATAGCTGTGTCTCAACACGATGGACCTGGATTCTCCATTCATGCCCATACTGTCAGGTGCCACTGCCACTTGCCCACTTCCTTTTTTCCTCTACTTCTTCCAATTATTTCAACAATAAAATATATTATTTTTCTATTTAATTTCAAACTTGATAAAACACACATAATATTTACTATTTCTGTTCTAAATTAATTGGCAGTGTAACTCACGGTTTTACCGTTAAATTAATAGCTGTATGTAGCTTTGATACTGACCATTTTCAGCAATTAGTTGGGCCAATTGGAATTTTCACGTAGGATTTGACATTCGGGCTGGCCCAATAATTTCCCTAGCTTCAATTTTTGATCTACATAAGCAGAAACATCGTCAAGTACTATACAGAGGATTCATATCAGAGTTGTTTGTGCCATACCAAGACCCAACTGAGGAATGGTATTACACAACATACTTTGATTGCGGTGAATATGGCTTTGGACAATCTATGTCTTCATTGCAACCTTTGACTGATTGCCCACCCAATGCTGCATTCCTAGATGCATACTATGCTGCTTCAGATGGTACCCCTGTAAAGATAGCTAATGCCTTCTGCATATTCGAAAGGTATGCTGGTGATATCATGTGGCGTCACACTGAAATTTCACTCCCGAATGAAGTGGTACATTTTTTTTTATTCTCTATTTTGTTTGGTTCTTGTTCCATTTTCCATTTTGTTCTTTAGTTGACTGTTGTTTTTGGTAGATAACTGAGGTCAGGTCAGATGTAAGCCTAGTGGTGAGAATAGTTTCAACTGTGGGCAACTATGACTATGTCATTGATTGGGAATTTAAGCCAAGTGGCAGCATCAAATTTGGGGTATGGACGCTTGCAATATTTAAATGTTTTATGCCATGAGTGAAATTTGACTAAATTATAATTATAATTTACATATTAAATTACTGATTACATGTTGCTTAGAAGCTAATTAACTCATGTTATATTTTAAAATAGGTAGGGCTTACAGGGATATTAGGGATTAAGGGAGGGGCGTACACCAACACAGATCAAATAAGAGAGGATATTTATGGCACACTGCTAGCAGATAATACCATTGGTGTCTACCATGACCACTTCTTCACCTATTATCTTGACCTTGACATTGATGGTGAAGCCAATTCCTTTGTCAAGTCCAATTTGGAGACAGTGAGAGTGAAAGATCACAGCACACCGAGGAAAAGCCATTGGACAGTTGTAAGTGAAACGGCTAAGACAGAAGCTGATGCTAGAATCAACTTGGGGTTGAAGCCTTCAGAGCTACTGGTGGTAAATCCTAATAAAAAGACTAAACAAGGAAACATAATTGGGTATCGTTTGCTTCCAGGCCCAGCAGCACGCCCACTTTTGATTACTGATGATTATCCACAAATTAGAGCTGCCTTCACCAATTACAATGTATGGGTCACGCCATACAACAAATCTGAGAAATGGGTGGGAGGGTCATACGTTGATCGTAGCAGAGGCGATGATACTTTGGCTAGTTGGAGTCTCAGGTGTGTTATTTACTTGATCACATGTTACAATGTCACACTTCTTACTTGCTCATTTTATAAAATTATGATTCTGATCCAAAAATAACACACTAAGCAACTACTACGTAAATCTAAGTTTTATCTTAATTTTTTATTTCAGCCAAACATTAATGTTAATAGTCTGCATTTAACATGAGGTTTGAGTATTGTGATTGTGACTTAAATGCGCAGGGATAGGGAAATTGAGAACAAGGACATAGTACTGTGGTACACAATGGGATTCCATCATGTTCCTTCCCAAGAAGATTTTCCAGTTATGCCAACATTGAGTGGTGGGTTTGAGTTGAGGCCAACCAATTTCTTTGAGAGCAACCCAGTCCTTAAAACAAAATCACCCAACTATGTGCAATGGCCTAATTGCACTTCTCAACATTAGCTGCTATATATGAATAAGTGTAAACGTACACCCCCATTTAAGTGGATGGGGAAGGAGAGATAGGAAAATAAACAAATAAATAAATAAAAGATGTGGCATGTGATGAAAAATTCAAGTAACGAGAAATAAAAAGAAAAATGGAATGAAATTGAGTTGTGAGAGATTGATAGATATTTATAATTACGCATATTTTGACGAAACTGAAAATGTTTACTATGTTAAAAATATAAAACGATCTATTAATTTTTTGATCAATTAAACATATTGTATTAAAATGGATCTCTACCAAATCATTTTTAATTATCATAATTGCTAAAAACTTAATAGTGTGTTTGGATAGAGAATTTAAATGGAGTAATTCATTTATTTGAAAATTTTCAAATTTTTTGAGGTGAAATACCTTATTTAGATAGAAAATTTATAAAAAAAAATTTAAAATTTAAGTAATTGCGAAATTTCTTGAAATAGTAGAATTTTAAATTCTCCCAAAAAAGTAAGAATTTGAAATTCTTCATTTTTTTTCTTATTTCACTTATATATTTTACCTTATCTCTTATCTCTTCATGTTTTCAATTATTGAATATTCAAAAATATTTTTAAAATTATTAAATATTATCTAATATTAATTTTTAAAATTATTAAATATTTAAAAATTAACTAATATTTATTTTTATAAAATTTAATTTAAAAATCTCAACATATAAATATATTTTTAAAATTAATTTTATCATGGTGGAATCAAATTATCATATCCAACCTAATAACTTAAAATTAAAAAAATTTCAAAATGACTTATCCAAACAAAATATTTTAAGAATGTTAGAAATTGAAATCAAAGTAATTCAAATACCAAGAATTTCAAATTTCTTAAATTTGTAAAAGTTTTTATCCAAACACACAATAATTTCTTTTTAAGCCTACTTTTGGCAAAACGTAGTTGAAAAGCTACTTTAAAGCTGAAAATGGGTTGATGAAAATTGTTATGCTAGCTTATGGAATTGTAAGTGTTTGGTAAAATTATGTTAAAATAATTGATAAATGTACAATTAAATAAATTAACATGTTTATATAATATTTTATTATTTTATATAAATTTGAATTACATTTTATTGATAAAAAAATTATATTTTTGGGTATGCATATTTTTAGTTTTTAATTATTTTAAACTCTTGTAATTTTTAATTTATAGATGAACTATTTTAACTACTTTTTTAGTTTCAATTTTTTCCATATTATATATTATACTATTAATCTTATATTATATCTAAAATATTTTTGATCAAGTTTAAAATAAAGTTAAAATAATATACATTGATATTCCACTTTCGTTTTGTTAATTAGTACAACGATTAAAATATCTTGAAGCACAATGTTTATAATAATAATAATAATAATAATAATACAAATACTATAATGGTTAAAATAAATAGTATAATATAAAAAATAAAATAAATCTATCATTTATGAATATCAATATCTTGACATACAATGTTGAAATAGTAAATTAAATATTATAATATTTAAAAATAAATATAGTAATGTAAAGATATTTAAAATAATAATAAAATTATATATATATATATATATTAATTGGTTATAATAATGATAAAAGATCAAAGACAACCTGATCTCAGTACAAAAAACAACGCCTCGTTACAATAACTTGAATCAAGAAATTCTTAGGCAAGACTTCACCATAACCATCACCAATTCCGAGTATTTTTCCTGTAAATTCAACTCTAGGCAATTGAGCAAGAACAAAGGCCATGAAACATTCCAAATCGTAAGTCCAAGTCTTTTGGGCTGTTGGTGGGTTTTACGATGTCGTTTTATTGGACTCCGAACTGGGCCTATGCCTCGGTGGACATTGGACGCGAAGGAAGTGAATTTCTCAATGGTTTCTAGGAGTGGGACATTTTCTAGCACTGCTGTTTATGCAAATGAAGGCAAAAAACATTTGAGATTCACGACATATTAATAAATTACTAGAGTGGGCAAGAAGATAATAATGTTCCAGGTTAAGGGAAGAACAATTTTCCTCGCCAATTTTTGTTATTGCTCTTAGATTTTTGTAAATTCAACATCGATCTGAGTTATTGTGCGCAATTCCTTGCCTATTTTGTTTTTTTTAATTACATTGTACATCAACAATTTGAACTATTTGTAGTGGTAATTCGGAAGCAGTATACTATGGAAAAGTTAGTTTTGTTTGCATGATATGACTTATTTTTTTAGTGTATCTGTTAACCTAAATTTTTTATTTATTAACTTAAGAATCTGTTTAGAAACAACTAAAGAAGGCTTGAAAAAGTCCATGGTGAAACACTTCACTCTTAGGCTGAAGGATGGATGCAACAATCGTCATGTGAACTGTGAAGAGCATCTCTTTGATTTGGACTTGTAATTCTATTCATGACATAATAGGAAGTTTTACAATATTAAAAGAACAATAAACCGGTGTACCTTAATTTGATATAAATTTTATTCAACAACATGCCTGCACTTTACAATATTAAAAGAACAACGAATATTTAATTTTTTATATAGCATTTCATCTTGTTTTTCTTCATGAATAATGCATGGTTAATGAGCTGAACATGCTTGCATTAATTTAGAGCTATACTTTTATTCAAAGCAATGGACTACTTTCGAAAAAGTTAGCTGGCCTAAGCTCAAATCCACCATGAATTGCTGGCATTGCTGCAAAATCTTCTTGATAAGGGACGTGGTGGATCCCAACTGTGTGCCATAGCACTATGTCTGTATGTTCAATCTCTCTGTTCCTGTGTGAACCATGATCCACTCGGTCAAATTACAATTTCATAATATAGTTTGATCAATTAGCTAGCTGATTTTTTTAATAGTAGTATATATAAATATGAAGTATAGATTTAGCATGCAGCATCAGCACAAATATAAATTTCATATAAAAATATCAAAATGTTAGCATGCAAGACTAAGATAAAGTTTTTTTTTAATTGGTACCTGAGGCTCCAAACGGCTAAGCCATCATCTCCACGGCTCCTATCAGCATAGAACCCTCCAACCCATCTCTCTGACCTGTTATAGGGAGTGACCCACAACTGATACTTTGTATAAGATGCTCTTCTTTGAGGGTAATCATCATCAGACAATAGAGAAGTAACTGGCTGTGCACTGATCAGCCGGTAACCCACTTCATTCCCTAACTTTGTCCTTTTGTTGGGGTTGACTATTAGCAGCTCTGCTGGCTCCAAGCCGAGCTGAATTCTACCCTCGGCTTCCCTCTTTGCAATTTCTCTAACAACAGTCCAGTAACTCTTCCTTGGTGTTCCAAAGCCACTTGCTGTTGCCCTTTTTAACTTAGCATTGATGAAGGAGTTGCTATTATCATCAATGTCAAGGTCAAGATAGTAGGTTAAGTGGTGATCATGATAGTTGGCTATAGTGTTTTCTGCCACCAAGGTTCCAAACACCCTTTCTTCTATCTGACTTTTCTCTGTATAGGATACTGCTTTCATCTCCATTATGCCTGTCAGATCCACCTATGCATATAATACAATATACTATTTTAGGATTGGTGCCATTTTGTTTGACTTGTACCAAATGTATTCTTTTTTAAATTATATAGTTATCTTAAAGAAAAGTCATATTCTTTTATAACTGAACAATTATATAACTTATGTTTAAACTTTAAATAGAACAACTATGGTATTTGTTATAATATTCACCACGAGACGTGAGACTTGAGAGTACGAGTAATGCTAATTTTCCAAATTCCCATGTATATGCTCTATGGGGGAGTAGAAAAATATACTTTAAAGCTGGCTGATTAAATTGAGCTCTTATTCCTTCTCCCACTTGGCCACTTCAACCAATTAAATGTTCATATCACCCAGTTGGTAGAAGAATCTTACCCCAACTTTTATACTGCCACTTCTAAGGAATTCCCAGTCAAGAACATAGTCATAGTTACCCACGGTGGCAACCATTCTGACCACTAAAGTAATTTCAGCTTCTCCATTTCTTATCTACACAAAAACAAAGCAAAGTGTGTTCACATCAAAACAGTAGAAATTCCAAACAATTTCAACCAAAAATGCTACGACACAATCTAACACCTTACCATTTTTTGGGGGTTGTTGATTTCCATGTGCCTCCAAGCCACATTGCCAGAATTCCTCTCAAAAATGCAAATAGCCCTTGGAACCTGTTGCACCTCTCCATTAGGCCCTGCCATGTAGCCATCCATGTACACAGCATTGCTAGGGCAATCAACCCTCGGTTGCAAGGTATCAGCTGCACGTCCAAGGCCAAATTCCCCAGCATCCATGAAAGTCCTGAAGTACCATTCTTCTGTAGGATCCATATAAGGGACAAATGTCTCAGATACATGACCCCTATATAGCACTCTTCTATACTTGTTTCTTTTGTCATCAAATATAGAAGCAGTTGATATGATCATTCCTGCCCGAGCATTGAACCCAACATGAAAAACCCAATTAGCCCATTTGACTTCATGGCCTTTGATAGTGAACCCAATATCTGACACATCATCACATGAAGAAGATGTTTTGGACCTGCTGGTGCTTGAAGATTGAAAATCTGTACCTTCAGCTTTAGGCATAGGAGCAATGTACCTGTCATTGTACATAGTAATCTGCATTGAATCAACATCAACTAGCACTGTGATTCCCTCAATAGGCCTTGCCCACACATTAACTGATCCTCCCCTATAAAAGCATGACACTTTGAGGGCTCTCCTTGTGATTTTTTCTCCATACCAACCTACAGTAAATGGTACACAAGAAACTTCAGACAAATTCAAGCCCCTTTTGGCTATTGACTCTTTGAATTTGGGGTACGTAAGAGGCAATTTGGTGGCTTGAAAAAGCTCATTGAATGTGAAAGGAGGGTATCCATGACCGGTGTAGATTCTATCTGATACAATGGACTTTTTGATTAAGTCCACTACAAGCTCGTGTGTTTCACCCTTGGCTCGAACAACTACCTTGGCTTGGCGAGGAATAATAATTGGCTTGTCTTTTGTGTTTGAAGATAGCCACTCTAGGACATGTTTTTTGTCTGGTTCTTCCACATCCACAAAATGATAGGTCAAGTTAGGAATAGCACCAAGGTAAGACCCTTGAACTATGTCCCTTGTT